ACCGTCATCTCCCCGCATGGTAGGTGAAAGCAGTGTGTCTTCGGATGCCACCGATCTATCAACGCCGTCGGCGTTTGTTGAAAGGTGGCGTGCCTCGACGACAAACACGAGCAACAACGTAGCAAGGTTCGCCACCACTTGAGGGGCGTGTACCTCTCGTCAGTAGACCATGGTCGAGAGGCCTCATGTGTCATTGGCCTCAAGACATTCAAAACACCGCAAAAAAAAGACAAGCATGAAAAAGTATTAGTTCATGTCACTTTATAAAGAGCATGGACTATAGAGCAAAACATGAACAATGCAATGTTTCATACGAATTGTTGAATATACCTCTCCGTTCTCAATCCTCCGAGCCCGGTGGTGCTCATCGAACCTTGGATCAAGAAGGGGGAACCGATCCATCCTGCAACATAAGCAATGCCAAAGCATTAGTATAAGTTAAAGCATGTGTATGTGGTACGAAGTAACATAAAAATAAAAAAACAAAAGTAAACCAATGTACTATTACACAAAGCAATTCTAGTAGCTAGCTTGGTGGATACCTGTTGTCTAAGTAGTTCAGGACATTTTCTCTTATTGTGGCCCGGCTTATGGCAACCAGAGCAATGGCTCTTTTGGGTGTCCTCTACAAAATGTCTCCCAACCTTACTCGTGGTTGATCTACCTTTCGTGGCTCGGTCCATGTCCATCCTGAACCGCTTCCGCCGCCTAGGTCCTCTACTCTTTCAGAGTAAACCAAGATCAGCCACATACTTGGGGCCATCATAAGTAGGCCATTGACTCTCGTCAAGAAATGGCTCGAACTGAGGATTTCAGGTGCTCATAAGGTTCCTCAAAGAGAACTCCGCGGCCATACGGGGAGGGACCTCAGCGTCAACACGTCTAAGGCGACAGGCTATAATCATGTGGGAGCAAGGCCTATGGTATATGATCGGTTTTCCACACATACACTTGTTCTCATTGATCACTACTTTATGTTTTCGAGCACCCCGGTCTTCACCACCAATGTTAGTTCCACCACCCTCTAGAATCTCATATCCATGGTTGATCGGATCGAAACATGAACCCTTCTCATCGTTTAGACTTTTTCTTTGAGAAAGCTAGTTCTGAGATGCTAAAAGTGGCCAAGCTTTGCTCGCTGTCCATAGAGACCTCGCATGCTTCTTCCTCAAAAAGAACCAAGAATTCAACTTGTAGAAGGTGAATGAGGCAATAGCGATCCACAGTGCGGACCACGACAACCTCTTAGAAGGTCATTGAAACATCTACGCCATGTTACTAGTCATGAAGCCCCATCTCCAACCACCCGTGTCATATGCAAGTGACCACTTATCCTTCGACGCCATCAACTCGCTCAAGAATTGCTTGCCATCAACATTTGTGGCTAACTTCGTGGCATCTAACTTGTCTTTGAATAATTGAACCTCTTGTTTGCAGCAAACCTCCTCAAATAATTTGAAGTTGCCCTTTGTGTGATCACGCCTTATAAGATTCTCGAGCAAGGTGTCTGGTGCACCACCGGTGATGTATTTGGTCAGTAACCAGAATATCTTGTTCTACGGCATTCGAATGCCAAAGATGCCTATCGGATATCACACAAACATCACGTCCCGCACCAATTATCACTTGTCTTACTAGCCTGAGAAACCAACACCAACTATCCGTGTCCTCCTTTCGAACAATCGCAAAGGCCAGTGGCACAAGCTGGTCCTCTGCATCTATCCCAATACAAATAAGCATTGTGCCTTCAAATTTCCCCGTAAGAAAGGTCCCATCAATTGAGACGACGGGCTGCAATGCTTGAATGCTTTGATGCTCTCGCCTCAAACGCCCAAAACGCCTTTCCAAATACCGCTACCATTCCTTGTTTTACCCTCCTTAGGTAAATACTCGAAGTGCATCCCAGGATTTACAACCCTCATTGCGTTCAACATTACAGGGAGGCGCTCATAAGCTTCTTCCCAATTTCCAAATATTATTTCCAGTGCACGCTGTTTTGCCCTCCATGCTTTCCCATACTTGACATAGTAATTGTACTGTTGGAAGATGATCTCAACCAACGCAGACACACAGTAACGGTTGGCATATGCTTCACCACGAGGCATAATTGCCTTGCAATGAACCTAGAATTGAGTCTGCAGATGGTTCTCTTACGCCTTTCAAAGAAGGGTACAAACATGTGGTTGCTTCAGCGAGGTAATCTTCCATTTGCCTGCCTTCGTCTTACTAGCACATACTCTCCAACCACACTCGTTGTTCTTCACAAGCAACAAGATACCTCTTCTCCTTAAATGAATTGATGACCCTAAAAGGTCGGTTGTGTACAATGGAGTACTCTTGCAACCATGATTTCAACTCATCCATGGTACCAAACAATATGCCCTTCCGTATGATGAGGCAACCGCTAACATCAGGCACAGTTGTATCACTTGGCCCACCATCAGCTACTGCCCTATGACCATGGCTAAGGTCCTCGAAATCACCAACTACTGGATCTCTCCAAGGCAAGACCCTAGACAATATCTCTATTTCCCTAAAATTCAGACGACCAACAGGGCGATCGTCATCAGAGTCTTCGGCTATCTCCTCTATGAAGGATTCATCATCTCCAGCTATCTCCATGTCAAAACGGTTCGTAGCCCTAGCATCACCAAAGTCTTCTTCACCACTAAGATCATCTTCGTCGCTAAGCTCATCCTCAATAGAAAAGTCTCCGCTAGCGTCGTCCAAACCTTCTTCTGCATCAACAATTACATAATCATCATCCTCTTCATCACTATCATGATTGCCCTCACCATTGGCAACCGGATTCTCTTCCTCATCTCCACCGTAGCCTAGTTGTGTGACAAGTATTTCTTCTTCAGGTAAAGGACCATAACCTATGTGAGCGGGGGAAGATGGCCATGCTTCGAAGTTATCATTTCCTAAGCCGGACTCCTTACTTACTACTAAATCCAAAGATCGCACTTCTGAAGCCAATACAACTGCCTTGTAATCATTTCATTCAGTCTCGCTTGTAATTTTGAGCAACCGCTTGATCCGAGGACCCTTCGATGACCCAACATCTATGACACCTTCAAACTGAATATGCACGTCTCCTTTATTCCAGCCTAACTTAACATTGACTCGCTCCACTAACTGGGTCAAAGATGGTGTTTCAGAAAAAATCAACAACTCCTCACACATGTCCAGAAATTCTAAACTATCATCTCTTGTCCTAACAATACGGCCTCCATGATGCAACCTCACTAATTTATCAATCTATAGCCATCACACAACAAGTAGTGTCACATATCAATATATCATGCGAGTTGCAATCCAATAAGTAGAAACTAAAATATATCATTTCATCTTTTTCAACCCCAACAACATAATCATTTCTAGTCATAACGAATTGAAATGTAATGACCAACAAATAAATAAAATACATAGTAACCCTAATGACCAACAAATAACTAACCCTAATGACACCTACAATAAACAAAGAACCCTAATGACCAAAATAACTAGAAACCAAACTAACCTAATATGTTCATCACATAAAACAGTTAAACAACAATGCACTCAATCATCCTAAGCCATATATTTTGCAAATGCAAACACAAATATACCAAAACACCATACAACCATGATTCCACATGATTAGGGACAATGTAAGCACATCTACGCGGATAGAATGGAGGAGGGGAGGGACTATTACCTCAAGGAAGCTTCGGGAGACAAGAACGTGGCACCGGGGGTCGATTTTGGAGCCTAGGGTTTGGTGACGGCGCGGGAGAGAAGAGAAAGAGAGGGAGGCCGACGGTTTCAGAATGGAGGGAGGAAGAAGAAGGGGCCTCGGCGCGGCCTAAAGGGACCAGACCTCGGCGTTGAGTCGGGCCACGCCGAGGTCTGGAGGCTCGGCGTTAAGTGACCCAACGCCGAGCTTCTGGGCCACCGTGCTTTGTTGGGCCGCTCCGGGTGGGTCTATTATCTCGGCAAAATCCAGCCACGCGCCCGAGTTTGGGCACTTACGTCGGGCCGACACGACGCCGACATCTCTCGGACCCATGCGCCATCAGGTCGACGGCGACCCGGTCGTCCGTGACATGGCAATACCTCGGCGTTGAGTGACACGACGCCGAGCCTCATATCTAGGCGTCATGTCCTAAGACGCCTAAAAATGGTCTATTTTCAGAAAATGTTTTGGCGTAGGTATTTTTCTAAAAATTGTTTTCAAAAGAGATCAAAATACAAAAATTTCACATTCCCCTATGCAGCACGTTGGAAGTTCTTGGTTTCTACTGTGTGGCGCACGCGATTTCTCCCGCCTTGTTGAAGGATGAAACAAATATGTATCACCTATTTTTCCCGTCAGCTTTAGCTTTTCTAGACAAAATGCTTGGCACATAAAAACCGGATATCTGACTACTGACTTTCAGTATGAGACTTTTCTCTCTCAGATATTTTCTCATGTGTTGCACTGCAAATATCAAATGGATTATACTTTCTAGTAGGATTGGAAATATATAAACCAAATCCAAAAATATATTTCTACCGCTCAGAAAAAAATTAAACGATACACGTTCATAATACATAATACATGTATGTATGTATCATGTATTCACAATGAAAACATCAGGCCTTCCCAAAACGAGGAGGCGTATGCTTTGCTGCCTCGACTCGCTGTCGCTGGACCCGGCCTCTTCTCTTCCACACGACGACACGAGGACGCAGCGACGAAAGCACCCAAACGACCGACCAGGAAATTGAACTAGCGGCCCACGAAACTCCGGCGCCGCCCACTTCGCCACCTCGGAACGGAACCCTAGCCGCCCCGTCGTCCTCCCGCCCGCCCGTCCCCGCCCATGGATATCGCCGGAGACAGGCGCCGATAGCGATACGCAAAGGAGTGCGTCCGTTGACCTTGTTAATCGCGACGCCCGAGGCGTGCGGTGTGGCGCGGGGGGAGGAGAAAGGAGAGGGGAAGGAAGTAGAGAGGGAGAGGCGGGCGGGGCGCGATGTCGGTGCGGATCAAGGCGGTAGTAGACCGGTTCGTGAAGGAGCTGCAGGAGGCGCTGGACGCGGACATCCAGGACCGCATCATGAAGGAGCGCGAGATGCAGAGCTACATCGAGGAGCGCGAGCGCGAGGTCGCCGAGCGGGAGGCCGCCTGGAAGGCCGAGCTCTCCCGCCGCGAGGTAATCACCGCTGTTTTTCCCCCACTCCCGTCTTAGCGTTGAAACCTCAAACAATCAATCAGTGCGCGCTGCTCCTGCTTGCGTACTGTACTTGCCGTTGATGAGTTGGCCGATGTTGCCCAATGTCGACACGTTTTCATTTCTGCAATCGGTGCTTGTAATCCGCTTCAGGCACACCGCCATTGAAGTGAAGTAGTTTGGGTTGAGTTTAGGATTCATCAGCAACCACTACAGTATGTTTTTTAGGATTCATCAGTCATACCGTCTATTTTTTTTTTCCTTTCAATAATTCATCCTTTCATATAAATTGTGTTATGATAGCTCTCACATAGTAGATGAAATCATCCTGATTTCTAACTTGAATTCCGTGTGTTGAGATTTGTGCTCCAAAGCGCAAGCTGGGATCGTCAGTTCAGGATTCAGGTTTCATTTATGTGGAACCCAAGAATTAGCTGTGCAGCCATAGCCTGGCAGTATGTTTTGGTGTCAGCAGGGGAGAGACTGGAAGGGCAACGAGGAGTGTTTAGAAGGCAGCAGTGGGAGCCGCTAACAACAAGGAAGGATGGATTCGCAGGGATGTTTGGGTTCGCAAAGTGGGAGTGAAGGCTTGGTAGTTTGCGGGTGTGATTTAGTGGTGGCACCAAGGAGAGAGAGGTGTTGGGTGGGGTTGGTGCTTGGAGTGTATGGGTGAGGAGGTCAAATACATATGCAGGGGTGGCAGATGAGAAAAGGGTGGGGGGGGGGGGGGGTACAAAGACATACACATCCATAATTTGTTTACTCCTTGTGTGTGTGTTAGCATTTTGTTGTTCTATGTCTTGTTTTGCAGGATTAGTACCACTAGAATAAGATATATCTTGCCCTTGTTGCTTCACTTATGGAAGCTGATTGCACATATTTGGCCTGTTTCTCCTTACATATCTAGTAGCTATTGTTGCAGTAGTGTAGTTATGTCTTTACTATGTCACATTTCTCTGTCTATGGTGGTCTGGCCAGCAATGCAGAGTCTTGACTCATGCTGTGTTATGTACAAGTGCTCATATGTTGAATCAATAACTCTGATTATACGGAAGGCTTAATTTGAAGTGCATGATATGGGAATGGCCTAGTTATGCAAACTGTAACAATATTTTTTATGGAGAAAGGAAGTGCTTAGTCACTTGGTTTTGAATCATCATCATTAACATCAGTGTTATGCCCTGTAGGCTGTAGTATTGAAGCGAGAACTGTAAAGCTGGGTCTCTTTTGCCTAATTAGGAGCAGAATTAATTGAAGCTTGCCTGTTCAGTTTTCTTGAAATGTATTAGAGGCTTAGAGCGAGCAGTATGCATTTGAGCAGGATCTTCCTGATGGATGAAAGTCAAGCATGTCTCCAATTCATCACCATTAACTGTAATTAGGGACCTGCAACATGACTTATTTCAATTCTGTCCTGTACAGGCTGAGATTGCACGGCAAGAAGCTAGGCTGAAGATGGAAAAGGAGAATTTAGAGAAGGAAAAGAGCGTCCTCATGGGAACAGCATCCAGCCAAGACAACCAAGATGGAGCCCTTGAGATCACTGTCAGTGGTGAGAAGTACAGGTGCCTCCGTTTCTCTAAGGCGAAGAAATGAGAGATGGACTGACACTGAACTGGACCAACACATGCTCTGTAGTCAGTGCTGGGCTAGATATAGCCACATAGTCTTGCAAAACCCTTATTTTGATTCAGATTGTATTCTTTTTTCTTGTACAGGAAATCCTGGAATGCCCTTAACAGAATAGTGGATACTTATGCTAAGACTGTCTTGTTTATAAAAAACTGGGCAACCAGAACAGCTGCAATGGGAGTTGATGATGACTGAAGATTGTTGCCAGTTGTGATGCCTTGTTCTTGTTGATATGTTTACAGGTTATTGCCCGCTAGACCAGCTCAATGCTGGCTCTAAAATATGAGTTCTGAGAGTATAATGGTCAGCTGCTCTGCAGTGGCCTGGTTGGTGTATCAGATTTTGTCGTCGTTCGAGCTGATTGGATGGTAAGAAGCTGTCGATAGCTTGCATTGGTGTTGTCTGACCCCAACTTTAAAACATCCCAGAAAATAAAGGGGAATCGCCGTTCTCAACAGCTGGTTTGGAACTGGCGCTCGCAATTCAGTTCACCAGATGCCATCGAACAATGCTTAGTGCAGCAACTGGCGCTCGCAATTCAGTTCACCAGAAACCAGATGCAATCAAACGGCCTGTGGTTCGTCGTCCCAATTTATACACGTCTCCGACTGAGAACTATGCAAATCATGTCATCTAGGAAAACAGATCATGGGCCTGTTTGCTTGAGCTTATTTAAGAAAACACTGTTTTTATCTCACAACAAATCAGCCACAACAGCAATAAGTCCTATCAGGACCCATATTTTTGCCCAACTATGCTAATCATGGCATCTAGGAAAACGCCGACACGGTTTATATTATATTTGGTTTAAGTTATAACATAACTGTTAGGAACTACTCCCTACATACTCAAAAATAAAGTCGTTTTGGATCAGGCTTGGGTCAAACATTAGAAATATAAATCATAAATAACTTTTAAGTTGTTGAGTTTGGAAACGTGAAAACCATATATATATATATATATTTGTCTTGAAAAATATTTTCACAAAAAATTACATATATCACTTTTTGATAAATATCTTTATAAAAATAAGTAGTCAAAGTTATGCTTTGGAGACCGTGTCACTGTCCAAAACGACTTTATTTTTTAGTATGGAGGGAATATCAGCCTGTTCGGGAGACCGTATTGGATCGTGGATTATTTACTGCTGGGTGGTTTGGTGTGAGAGAAAAACACTGTTTCTGGCTGGAAATTTACGATCGTTTACGACCAAACGAACAGGCTGTATGTTGTTGGCAATGGCAACTTAATAAAACTAGGGAAACGTTCCAATTTGTACTAAGAAAATGCTATACCACACTCAATTGTTATTAAATTAAAAACGCGAATTGGCCACGGGACACCGAAAATGACCTCTCTTAGCTGGCGGACACCGAAAATAATCAGATTTGCTGAAAGACACTCTTTTTTTTTGCAAAATTTGCTGGCGGACACTGCGCCTATTAAAATATTCATTTCTGACTTTGAAGGAGAGAGAAGAGCGACGAAATGTTATTTTTGCCCCTACCTTCTTCTTCTTCCCTCTCCCTTTTCTTCTCTCCCCTGCATAGGTAGCACGCCAGCAGCCGCTCCATTTCCTCCGGCCTTGGTGGCGCATTGGGCAAGAGCATCCCGCAATGGTTGCTCGCCGGTCCTAGGCCAGGGCAGTGCTCCAGCGAGCGGGGCGCGCGGGGGGAGGACGAGCACGAGACGCGCGGGCGGAGGCCAGGGCGGAGGCGCAGCCATGGCGGACGGCGGAGGCTAGGGCGGTCTTGCGGACGCCTGCAGCGGAGGCCATGGCGACGCCCGAGGTTTGTGGCAGGCGGACGCCTTGGCGGAGGGAGGACGAGCGTGATACTTGCGGGCGGAGGCCAGGGCGGCACGCGGACGCGCGGGTAGAGGACGAGCGTGAGACGCACGGGCGAAGGCGCGGCCATGGCGGACAGCGGAGGCCGTGGGCGGAGCGCGACGCGCGTGGGTGGGGACGAGCGCCTTGGCTGCAACGCAGTGGAGGCTGTGGTGGCGCGCGGGCGGAGGTGCGGCCATGGTGGACGACGGAGGCCAGGGCGGCGCGTAGACGCGCGAGCGGAGGCCATGGCGGACAGCAGAGGCTAGGGCGACGCGCGGACGCGGCGGACGACGGAGGCCAGGGTGGCGTGCGGGCGCGGCGGACGACGGGGGCCAGGGCGGTGTGCGGGCGCAACCTTGCGGGGGGCGCGGCCATGGTGGACGCCCGCCCCTGCTAGCACTGGGCGATGCCAATGAATTTTTTTTTAATTTTAACACTTTTTCGAAACTAATTTTAAATCTAATACTCTCGGGTTTTTTAAAACTAACACTTTTGGCCGCGCCTATTGCCCTGACGCGGCTAAATGCCTGTGCCGCACCATGCATGGTGGCGCGGCAGGGAGCTGACGTGGCGACGACCAGAAGCTTGACCGCTGATGGGGCAAGGCTCTGCCGCGCCATCGATCTTGGCGCGACAGAGCTGGGTATAACCTCCGTCGCGGCCAGTCCCGCTGCCCGAGCAGCAAAGCGGCCTAGGCGTCGCTCCCGCTCCCTCCCATCGCCAAGCACGCCGGCGGCCACGCCACGAATGGCGGCAGCCCGACCCTCCATTGCCGCCTCCCTCCCTTCCCTTCCATTCCCCGGCCAACTCCCTCCCTCCTCGTCCTAGTCTAAGGTAATGACGCACATTTTATTTTCGTTTGAATGGTGGATAGGATATTATGAATGAGAGTTAAGGTTAGTAGGAAAATTATGTTTGGGAACTATGGTGATCATATTAGTTTGATTTTGTCAATGTTAATGTTAATTATTTAGTTAGAAGTATGTTTGCCATGTATATTTTTGTTGCTATACTTGTTGTTTATAATATTTTAGTTGCATCGCACATGATTACATTTTACATTAATTTGCGTTATTTTGATTGATGATTAATTTGAACCGTTTTATTAGATGGGAGACATGTTTCAGGAGCAGTTATGGCGAAAACGGGGGTCGTCCTAGAGAAATGTATCCCGACGAGTCTAGCAAAAATGCCCCCGTCCCTCCTGAACTCCCTGTCCCTAATTATGACTGTGGTCGTTCGGCCGACGTGTTTCAATCGAGACATCCGGACACAGCGGCTCGTTGCTTATACACGTGCAGTCGTTTTAATGTAAGTAATTATTTTCACTATCTTTTTCTTCTTCATTTGTATTACTAGATTACTAATATTTTTTAAAATTTTTTTGTTGTGTAGGACCATGAGAGGTGTCTTTTCTTTCAGTGGATTGACGGTGCAGATAAGTTTGACCCCAGATACCTCTTTTTCGACGATTGGTGGAGTGGACGACATCCACAAGAGCACTTCGAGCGGTGGGTTCCAATGACGGCTAAGGAGAATCACTTAGCCGTAGTTAGACGACTCGAGGAACCTCCTCTATGCCATTGCGGAGACCGAGCCATGATAAACCCTGACAATACGTTGGAGTTTGTGTGTCCAAACAAGCATGAAGTAAGTGAAAAGTGTATGTGTTGAAATATTGAGCTATATGTGTCGTGTACTAATATCACGTTATTTAGGTGTATTCAATGGCGAAGTGTCATTTCAATGAGTGGTTGTATGGTCCTAAGAACAAATGGCATGAAGAACCTCCAAAAGCAAAACAAAAGAAGAAAGAAAGGTTAATTTACAAAGCACCACCAGTCAAGTGCGAATGTGGTGTTAATTCTAACTATGGCCTAGTCCCTTCGGAGCTTGGAATAGGCCATTATTGCGGCCATATAGTTGAGTACGAAGAGGTTCGTTATTTTTGTGGTAAACATGAAATCGTATTTTGTTTCTTTTGCTCAGACATATATGATATAATATTTATTTTGAACATAGCACTAGAAAATACAGGTGAGAACGTTACGATGGTCAAGCTAAGTTCTTGGATGAACTGAAGAAGGGGCAACTAATTGCAAGGAAGAGGGGATATGGACCTGACTACGTCAACCTATTCATTAAACATCACAAAAAAAAATGCGTGGGTTTGCTAGACAGCGCGGTATTTGTAACCCGATCGATGTTGGACTTAACAAATGGGGATTGGAGAGATGGATGACGTTAGAGGAGAGGACAAGGAAGGAGGCAAGGGAGGAGACAAGAGTACAGATGCAGGTCTTGAACGAGCATGTTGCTGCATTATGTGCCAGTGAGTGCTTGAACGCCTTTTTTCGTTGTCTGATTTTAAATATAATATAATCACGTTGCTAACTGATTACATTTTATACATGAAGGGATTGGATGCAGTGAGGAACATGCTGTAGAGGTGGTTCGTGAAAGGTACGAGGAAAAGAAGTTAGATGAGCACAGAAAGCAAGATGGTCGCACCGTTGAATCACCGATTGTGTTGTCTGATGAGGGGACGATGATGAGGATGACACTGCCAGACTTAGTGAGCTAATTGCTCTAGCAGAGGCGGGCTTGCAGGCGGAGGAGGATGAGGATGACACTGGCAGACTAAGCGAGCTCATCGCTCTAGCAGAGACGGGCTTGCAGGCGTAGGAGGATGAGGACAACACTAGCAGACTGAGCGAGCTCATCGCTCTAGCAGAGGTGGGCTTACAGGCGGAGGAGGATGGCGACGCGTTCTTCACTCAGGCCGCAGTGGCCGCAGATGAAGCGGAGGCCGCTTACTATAGGCGACAGGCAGGTCAGAGCAATGCAGGTGAGCATAGCCACAGCAACAGAGTTGTGGTTGAGGATTGGTACTCGGACGACGAGTTGCTTACTCAGTATGTTTTTGACTGAGGGTTTTTATTACGCCGTCTATTAGTTCCATGCTTTATTAATGATCAATGTAGCCATGTAGTAGAAATCTATTGTGTTGTCTTATATTCCATTTGAACTACTGATGTATTGTACCCATGTATCATGTACTCGGATTACCCATGATCGATCTTAAGTGATCACGTCTGTTTGTATCATGCGTTCAAAATTTCTAAAATGAACGTAATCATTTGTTGCGCCATAGCTTAGGTTCTGGTGCCCCATAGGCATGGTTCTGCCGCGCCAGAGCCCACGACGCGTCTGTGCCGCGCCATAGTACATGGCACGTTAGTGCGCGGACGGACAACGGCCAGCTACAATTGAGTTGTTGTCGGTGCTGTACAAAACTACAAGTGCTGTACAAAACGAACATGAAGCAAATAAATGGACGATAAGTTGCCATACAACATTTTCATTG